AATAACGATTAAAATATCAGCAGGGTAGCCTGTAATTTAATCTTTTAAAAATTTTAAAAACGAAAAAAAACTATTTAATTCTACCCTTTCATCAAATTTATCTTTTAACGCTAAAACCTGTAAAAAAAGGTAATACTGAAAAAACCTGTTAAATATCATTTTCAGCCCCCCCCCCCCCACCCCCCTTTTATTTTTATTGTTTCTACTGGTTTCCGGTCCATTAAGCGCCATTTCCTTATATTATATTTTAGTTGTTACGGAATGCCATCACGGCGCTCAGATTTCGCTGCAAAGGTTTAAGACTCATAGAGCTTAGACTAACTGTGCGTTTAAAGGCCGTGTCAAAACAGTGTATAATTTCTGATTATTATTGCTGTGACAACATATCGCAATCAGGGCCTATCTAAATTAATTTGAGAAAAAACAACAACAGAATTACCACCCTTTCAAGTGTACCTCAAAGCGCCATCCACCGTTGGCAATTTTCGCTCTCTTGTAGTACGTAGACGTTGTCGGAATCTTTGCTTCTCTCATTTACACAATTATTTGTAGTTTGTTACTATCGACCAATATTATGCCGGCCAAATTATTTAGAAGATTATACAAAATAAAAGCGGGACTCCATAAAGAGATATCAAACAGGCGTGTAACAATCTAGATTGACGGGCTCCGTGCCAATCTATCCGGGAATATTGCGGCTATATAAGACGAACAAACACGAGCAGCAGAGGCACTTCAAGCCATCCTTGAACAGAGTTGACTAGTCGATGTGAACAGGCAACTTTCTGGGGGGTGAAGTGATCGGAGGGACGTGTAAAGCGAAAAGACATCAATACGAAAGGTAAAAATGAAAATAATTCAGTGATTCCCCGACCTTAGTTACCTGTACACTAAAAAAATCTACACTTGGCGTAATAACAGTAACGTTTATTCTTTTTGTTTACAAGCATTCCCGAAAAGTTTGAGTCAAAACTCAAAGCACCACTAAAAATTATCCACAATATGGAATGGCTGAGAACAGTGTCTCTTACTGTTCAAATACACCTATTATATTGGCAGATCAACCGAAGGGCTAGCTTTTAAATCAGGGTACCTCTAAATCTGTCTCTATGTGGGTTATTTACAGTTTGCGCAATACGCATGCTTGACACTGGTCGCCGTATAGGGAATGGCAAATTGATATTAAATGGCTTAAAAGACGGATTTGTTTTGAAACAGCTAATATATTCCTATTAATAACCGGCGAGTAGTGTTGGTGAAACTGTTGGTGTACAAGAAAAGTGATACTAAAACCTGCATACCAAATATTCATCATTGTTTTCAGGCACCTCAATCTTTTTTTGATATTATTATTCATTAACTTTTTTTTCCATTCCCATTCTCAATTGATTAGCATAAAAAGTACTGAGGAAACCTGTTTGAGGTCACGTATGAGATTCTGATTAAAGCTATAAATGGAACATTGAAAACCTGTCAACAGGAATCAAGGCTATTAAAGAGAAGATATCTTCTCAGGGCTTCTTAAGTCCTTTAATCCGCTGCTTACATTCAAACGTCTGATATTGTAGACTGGTTTCTCAGCAATTTGTTTGCATACTAGTAGTAGATTCGACCACAGAGAATATCGAATTGAGTTTTCAATGCGTGCCGTGCGTTCCAGTGAAAATGTTACAAACATGCCGGTGAAAACAAAACAAAAAAGAAATAAGGTAGTAAAATGAAAGATCAGAAAACTTGCAACATGGTCAGCAGCCTCGTTATTCTTTCTCCAGGATACCGTCGATGTTGTGGGTAGCTTCTACGGAAATGAATGAAAAATAATCCTTTTTGGATACATCGTTTCTTTTCTCAACGGAAAATCCTAATTATCTGGATTTTAGTAAAGAAACGCACCCAGAGTGAACATAAAAAGAACCGCTCGAAACATTATAAGAAGATATAAATAGCACGGCAAATACAAAGGAAGGCACGGATGGACAAAGTTGAAGAAAACTAAAAAACGGGTTGCAATTGCGGTTTTTTAAAATTTGTCAGCATGAAAGTTTTTAAAGTTATTTTTTTGGTTTGATATAATGCTTTAGAAGAGATATTTGTTTAATACGAAGCTGTGATTTCGTCATTTGCAAGAAAATTCCTCACTAACGTTGAGATATTTAGCGATAAAAGACGCGTTGCTGGCAATATTAACCCAATGAACTAGCGGTGACAAAACCCCATTAGTCGGTTTATTGATTGCTCACTCAGTTGGAAACACGAAAAGATGATTATAGCCAACTCATATCCAACGCACACTCGTGGAATTGTTGTTCAATAGACCGCGGTGACAAAACCCCATTAGTCGGTTTATTGATTGCTCACTCAGTTGGAAACACGAAAAGATGATTATAGCCAACTCATATCTAACGCACACTTGTGGAATAGTTGTTCAATAGACCGCTGGGTGTTGTTAACGCAATTCTAATGTCGTTTTCTCTTGCAGATGGCCACATCAAAAAATGTTAACGAAAACATGGTAAGATCAAACCGTCAGGACATCAGTTGTGTGTTTAAAGCAAAGTGCACACCTGTTGCATGAATAACTTGCGTGAGATGGTTAACATGCCTGATGTTTTTGCATTTAAGGGAAGTCATGATGAGTCAAGTTCCTCTGACGAGGACGACAAAAATCAAGGGTAAGAAATAACCATTGAACGTAAAATTCTTCCAAAAAAGTCACAACTAAACGTTTGGAGCGATGAATGCGAAAAATTAACTGTCTTTTTTTCTTTGATTCTTTGTCAGTGTAAAAATAAAACAGTACCTTCGAACGTTCCTAATTCTTCTAGGATATGTAAGCATCAAACTTTAAAACTAGTTTTCACGTTAGCTCAATTTTTTGTTTTTGAAATCTGAGATTTTAATTAGGGAAAACAAGATACCGTGGAAATAGGTAACCGCTAAAACTTGAATTCTTATGAATACTTTATCGTTAAAAGACCTGGTAGGTTCAGTTTCGAAACAACGTTCCTGAATTACCTGTGTTTGATGTAATTTAGTGACGCCACTGAACCAATGGCCATAGAGATTGATGAACAGGAGCCGCCTGGTGAGGGTTACATGTACTCCCTTGAAACGGAGTCGTTTTTTCAACAGGTAAGTTGCTTTTATCATCTGTAAGACAATAAATGAATCTTTTGTGATCTATATCGGTTAAACAACAGTAAAGTCTCTGACAGAATTATTTCACGTTAACTAGAAATAATCGTAGAAGGCTGGTTTTCAGGATCGCTAAATAAAATCTTCAGCGATCACTGCGATATACTCAAGAGGTGTAAAAATAGGATCATATGAGTTCTAACTTTGCCAATAACGATGGAACTGAATCGAAATTTGGTACGACGTGAGATTCACCTCCTAAAAATCCCGGGTAAAATAAAAATTCAAATCATCATTACTGTTTTAAGTCAAGTTAAAATCATCGATAAAATGGTGACGGAATTAACACTTGGCATGACCGTTTATTGCAACTCAATAAACAATTTCGAAGGCAAATGTCCTTAGTCTTAAATTATTCAAAACTTTAATTGTAAAGTTCAAGAAGAATGATTTCAAACGTAGAAGGTAAAATTTTGTTTATCCTTCATTCGCCACCGTTTCGCCTTCATTGTAACTTTTTGTACCACGTGATATGCCAGGTGACTATAATTAGTTAACTTTAAAGCAGAAGACCACATCACTAAAGTGGAACTCGACAACCGCTGGGCCATCAAATCCCGGTCGTAGTATTACCGGATTATCGTATTCCCTGGGTCTTCAAGAAATGATGATAAAAAGTGATTCCTAGTGTTTTTCACGGATGCGTCGTGGTCGTATAAACGGGATGGTCTTATAGTGAGGTAGTCGTAAGGCGGGGTTACACTGTACTTACATTTGGGGATGATTTCATCCCGTATATATACAAGCATAAGCGGTCAAGTATTGTTTCTTCTCAGAGTCCAGAGAGGGAAAGGGAGGAGGAGGAGGAAGACAATGAGGGTGAAAGACAAGCTGTGGTTGAAGGCGAGGCTGCTGTTCAGAATTGGGACCAAGAGTTTGATCAGCCCGTTTGGTAAGAACCGTAAAAGTTAGCGTAAATTTATCAGTAAATTGACGCGTATACACGTAAGAAAATAGTCTGGTCTGGTGCGCCAGAGTGTTCTGAGAGAGTTTGCGCCAAAGAATAACTTTCTTAAGGTACAAAGATAGAAGTATCATAAATTGGAAATTAAACACTTTCTCTTCTTCTACTCATAAGATATCGAACCTCGCCCGATGGCAACTTCCGTTTGCAAATGGTATCGTCTAAAATGCATACACTAAACCCTTTTCTTTGCTCAATGAAAACTTTTTCTTTGAAATAGTCTTTTTGGGGCATTTCTTAAAACGTCTGGGCAGAAGAGACAATGCTGTGGACCCCAAACCCAAAACCACTTTCTACAAATTTATTCGTGTTAAAGTAAATTAAAAAAATAGACACATCAAAAAATAAAACACAGAATAAAAGAAAAATGCGTGCTCTCCCTTGCTCCTTTCCAAAGTGCAACATTGTACCGCTGGTGAACGAATAAAACATTGGTAGGAGGATCGAGAACACGAAGACCTCATTTGACGAAAATAATTATATTAACACTAGCAATAATGAAGCTTCAGCGTCTCAAAATAACCTGTTGGGCGAACTTGCTTCTCTCGAATGTTACGCTTGATATATAGCCTCTCCTCGACCACGTGCCTTTTTTTTTAGGTCTGAGAATTTAACCGTAGAATCTGAAAGAATGCGTGGTCATTACCCACAGGTAGGTACTTTGCTACTTAGCCTAACGATACAACATTCAAGGGTCTTGAGTGTAAAAAGGAAGTTGTGTAGCCGTCCTGTTTTGAACTCAGATATCGTGGTCACGTGCCCGTTTCTCGAAAGTATCGGTAACTTTCCATGACCGAGGCCATATCTGAAGAATGGTAGTGTGTGTTTTGGCCCTTAACAAGTCCATCTTGATACTTTATCTGATAATTTTCGAAAATATTAAAACCTTGAGTTTGAATGTAAACACGGCAAACATAAAACAGCCTTCCGGGCCCGTCAATTACATGGTCCTTTGAGAAACCGGACTCTCAGGTCAGAATAAAGGCTGAACTTCTCTTTTGGGTCTTAGGACCATGTGCCAATTAAGAACACTAAAACTGCGCCTTAGATCCATTTAAACGTCGCATTTCACATGTTCCGAATTCAATTCGTGAATTAAGTGTATGTGAAATGCGACGTTTGAATCAATTAAATTCCACAATAAATACATCCCCTTTCGCTGAATTAGCGACTAAAACAGTCGAAGATTCTACTTTAGACGTGATTATCATTACAGTGAAACCCCGCCTTACGACCACCTCGTTATTACGGCCATTATTTTTTGGCCGCCTGGCGAAAACCGCCATCTATTTTCTTGTAAAAAAGACCCTCGTTAATACGGCCAAATTTTTTTGGCCCATTGGTCACCGTGTTAACGGGGTTTCACTGTATAATTAATTATTACCCACAATTCCCGTAAATGCCATGCACAGAACAGTCTAAACAAAGATCGAAAAATGGCGGGAGGTGAAGCAGTGTTGTACTTGCTTCTTGAAGACAAAGTATATCAACCTTGTCCCCAGGGCTTAAAAATATGGTTGACAATACATGTATACTGATTTGTATGACGTGGGATAATATCTTATGTACACACAGAGGTGCTCGGTTTTTACGACAAGTAATAACCGCTCAGTAGACATCCTCGTCCGGCAAAGTAGTTGAACCAGGCCTTGGAAAATATCCAAAAAACGTTTCAGATTCTAACTTAAATTTCATTATACTTTTTAACAGGAACAACAAGACGTTGATCCTTTGGCTATATTTTTTCTGGCACTTTTCTTATATTTATGTCGTAATAATCCAAGAAGACTGATGGAACTGGATTAAATCTTGAACATTTATTGTAATAACCAGTTTATTAAAAGATTTGTATAAATAAACTTGTATTTAAAAAATTTGGATTGCCTCTATTGTACTGGTGGAACCGCTTTACTTTTACTACAGCGGGTTGTCTTTTAAGGACTACAGCGAAGATTTTAATTCTGTAACAACTTTTGATAGAAGAAAAACCCCTGGCTTTGTTTGTTTAGCTTAAGGTGAATGTTATATCCACTGATTTAGTAATGCATCACAGGACAGGGTTTTCAATTATTATCATTGATCCACTTAATAACAATTTGTACAATGGATGGTGCTATCCACGCGTAAACTACTGAGGCTTGTTATGAAAAACGGTTGGTTAAAATACACAAAAACAGACTTTCTTAGTCTTCGTAGCTGACGGGATTAGCGTGGCAGTGCTGTATTGGTTTGGCGGCGGAGCCGCGAGAAGAGTGCACTGTAATTTTTAGGGAGTTATTTTAACTCCAAAAATGGAGTAAAAATGTTAGGTACAGGATAACCCCTTTTTGGGGGTTACTTTAACTGCTAATTTAACTCCGAATTTGGGGTCATTTTCACTCCTGAAAAAGAGTTCTTTTTACTCCCAGTCTGGAGTTAAAATAACTCCGAAATGGGGTTATTTTTACTCCTTACATGGGTTGTTTTTACTCTTTTGGAGTTAATTTAACTCTGAAAGTGGAGTAAAAATTTTAGGTACAGGATAACTCCTTTTTTGGGGTGATTTTAACTCCTCAAAAAACTGGGGTCACTTTTACTCCTGAAAAAGAGTTCTTTAAACTCCTTTTTGGAGTTAAAATAACTCCCAAAAAGGAGTTAAATTAGCCTCACTAAAGGGGTTATTATAACTCCTTGAAAATTACTGTGTGTGTACAAGTCAATTTGAAATCCCGCCTGCCACAATTCTTGGGTATTGAAGAGTCCGCATCCACGCGTACGGGAGTTTCTAATTGGCTAAGAGGCGATAGAACGTCAATCAAATTATAATATTAATATCTCTACTATCTGATTATCTCCCAAGATCAAGTTAGTGCGCTCATGTGCATATGAAATAAAATTGGGCAACCAAACATAAGATTTGCGCTTGAATAAGTGTTTACGTAGGTTGCCAAAGTAGAGCAAGGGCTCGACCACTCAGGGGGTACCGCTACTTCGGGACAATTTCAGTTTGCTAAGAAAATAAACCTCACTGAAGCCCCATTGATACCAAATCAACTTAGTTTGTTAAACCAGGTTTTATAAAAAGAAAATTGGTCACAGAAAACTAAAAGACTGGCTGTCGCATAGCATTCGAGTAAGCTTTGAGCTGTGCTTATATTTGCGCTAAAATTGTCGTCGACCAACATTAGTTAGCTACTTTTGTGAAGAAAACAATTCTGAATGTATTTCAAGGACTTAACAACAAAGAGCACTATCAGTGCTAGTGGTCAGTGGTTGTTCAGTGGGCGCATGCTTAGTAGTGCGCTACATCGTTCACGTGACATATTATTAAATACCTAGGCATTCAACATTCCAGGTGTACAAACGTAAATTTTATCTAGGTTTTCTGAACGAAACTGAGTACTTCCGCTACGTGCTTAATTAGTACACGCCACTGACTTTCGGAAAAGTTCGAGACAAACCAAAATGACTTGTGCAAAACCGCACAAAATAAATTGTATGTTTAGACCTTTATAACGCAGGTGCGCATTACAAGCACTTCTTAATTATTTTAAATCACTTTGTCATGTTTTCCGTGTTTATATCGCATGCGTGAACAACTCTCCTGTAGCCAGTCAAAACAAAAAAACATTTTTCCCAAAATAACCCAAATACGTTTTCTAAAAATGAAACAAAACATTAATATGAAGATATATTTGGACGACTACTTCAATGAGTATGAAATAAAAACTTGATCAAGATTCACACTTGAATAAGCACAAAGTACCGCAAGATATGATATTTGGTGAAAATAAGCCCTGAAATGACAAATAATGAAAAATCACTATCGTCTGCAGCCAGGACCCTGGACCTCTCTTTTGCTTTCAATTTGCAAACGTTCTGCTTGATCACTCATTTATGCCGTGAAACGGGTTTAAATTGATGCAAAGGTAAAAGAATGGCACAGGTAGATGTGAATTATCAGTGATATACACAGATTTTAAAAAGACGACTGTGCCACAGTTTCAGGGTTGTACAAGCTCAGAAAGACAAGATTAGATTTAAACAGTAATGAGCCCAACTTAAATGCAACTTAACCGACGGAGCGAAAAATGGCAGTAATGCGTTGTAACACTCAAATTTTATCTTTCAGTTTTCTCTTCGTTTACTTGCATAGATATAGACCAGAGTCAACTCTAACCCACTCCTTCGATTCACCGACCTTTAGCGCCAGTAATTTAAACGAAGTTTAGCCAGTGTTTAACAAAACTAAGGTCTTCTAAGCCATTTTCGGTTTGCCGAAGGCTTTAATGTAAACACCATTTATTGTAAAGAGTTTCATGAATGCATATGGCGAAGACTAGAACTGAAAGCATTTGCCTTTTTAAAATGACCCACTAAGAAAGAGATCTGGAGGTCCTAAGATTTCCTAAAGCGCGGTCTAAGTTAGACTTCGTTTTAATAACCGACCCTTATAGCTTAAGGGCCGCTCAAGCACCCTTACAGGCTACGCTGCGCTTTAAAATTGTTCGTCGTATAAAAGTATAAGAATCAAACGGATCAAAAAGTCTATGAATAAAATTAAACATCATAATTATCAATATGTAAAGACTTGCAAATCTGTAAGTGCAGTGTCTGCTTTAAGAGTCCCACTGTTTTCTGTTAACCTCACTGTTTACCAAGCTTAATTGTTTTAACTAACATTACGCTGTCTGAGGTCTACCCTGCGAGCAGAGGTTTCTCTCTTGCATGGCTTTTAGCGTTTACGCGTAAACAAACCAACTACGCGACAGATAAGACACGCGAATGACTTCGTAAACGCTAGAAGCCATGCAAGACAGAAACCTCTGCTCGCAAAATATCTGAAGTCCGAAACAGATGCCAACGCAGTTAGATAATCGAATAAACAACTACAAGCTCGACGTGATGAATTATTATAACGAATTGAGTTGGCCAAATATGGAAGTTACCTAATATCATATGAACGCATTATCCAGTCACATGAGAACATTTCAACCATTCAACCGAGTTATAACAGAGGTCAGAAATTTCACATTCGTTCATACCTTCAGGATAGATTAGGCCATTTTTGTCTATACAATGAAAGTTTTTTACAACTTGCTTTTTCGTCAAACGTTCAAACTGCTTTGTCACAAACACTATGGAACGGTCGACCTCTTTATTTCTCTACTGAACTGAACTTCCACATCACGTAACTATGGAAAACAAGACAAACTATGAACGACAATATGGTAATATCGACGGATGTCTGTCGAGTATAACCAGAGAAATCAACGTCAATCGGATCGAAAGATACTTCCAGGAAGAAGTGAAATGGATTGAAAGGTAAGGGTAACTTTATGGATACCGAAAAACTCAAGTACTTTGATCAGTCGTTTTTCTGTTGACATTTGATGATGATGCTGTAGATCATCCCGCGTCCTGACTCTGTTGAAAAGTTCGCTAACAAAAACAAACACTGTTTGGACTGCAAATTATTCTGGTATAATTACAAAGAAGCGTAGCCGTTAAGACTCAGATTCTTCAGTTTAGAAAGTGATCAAAAGCGATCTGAGACCCTCATCTAACTGCGTAACAAAGACTCCTTGTTTTTCAGGTACGTAGACGTCACGAGTGACCGCCTACTATTACTTGACCTGAAGTATGAGATTGTCTTCGAAACTCAACCGCAACTGTGACTCAGAGGTTTTTTACGGTCATGGTTTCACTGGTAAACAACACTAAACGGATGCACATATTCTTCAACTACGGTTCTCAAGAGAACGGGGCGTCACGGTTTAAGCCCGTTTGTTCCGTACAGAGCCTGGACAAATCTATCGCGTCCCGCACTACACAGCCAGAAACCTCTTCTTCGCAAGCAAACTAGTATCCATCACTGTACCAAGTTGTTAAGAAGGAAGAGGACAAAATGGAAAGGAATAAATGTTTATATGAAACCGATAAGAGTGCCCATGCGTGCAGGCAAGTTTACCGCTGACTGAAGCACGCAGCACAACACTTTGAACGTTCCTTGGCACAACTATAACCTCCGAAAAGCTACCTCATCGTTGGATTGAAATAGTTTCCCTTCGCTTCACAAAAGGTAAGAAAAAGCGAAATTTACGGAAATGAAAAACTCGTAAGTCCAGCCGTTGATATTTTGCAAACAAGTAGAAAAGCTCTTGAAGATAATTTACCAACATGAGAAAGCATACGTACTTTCTTATTTGTTTTCGCACAGCTGTGTGACCTCGTCTAACATGATATTCCGAACAATATCTAGGGAACATTTATCTAAGCTAAACACTTTATACGATAAAACTGGAGGGAAAGCGTATCTTTTTAATTGTATTCTACATATTTAACTTATAAAGAGATGTAGTCAGCCAAGGCAGTGTCAAAGCGAAAAGTGTGAAACGCGATGGCCACTTTATCGACGTAGCGCCCAAAACTTCACAACGAAAATTATCCTGTTACTATATGCACGAAGTCCGCAGTATCAAAAATGTCGTACGGGAAAATGCTTTCGTCTCATGAGTGTCATACAGTACTGGAAGTCTGATGTTACTTTAGAACAACTTGTAAAAGTAATTCGCAGGTTGAACTACTGGCAAAGAATGCCTTATCACATGTTTGCTTTAACAAATCTTGATACAACTCCAATTCTTGCTTATTTCAGTAGAGAATTCATAACATAGAAACTAAAGCACAGGCAGTATCATTGTTAACCATGAAGCGTACAAATACATCGTTGAGTACGCCAAATATTTAGTCCAAGTTTTGAAAGCATTACAAATAAACAAAGGGAGAGCTTGAATCTTTCCTCGCGTAAAGAACAAAGCTAAATGGAAACAGCCAAGGGCTTTTATTTTATCAGGGTTTAGCTACCACCTGTACAACTTAAACGCAACACTGTGTCAACGACAAATTTGTACATTTAACACTAAAATGATCATTTTAAGTACCCTCGGAAATAGGGTTTCCACCAGTACCGCAACTTACTATGCAGAGCGATTGTCAAATTCCACCTTATTTGTGAAAAAAAGTAACAGTTACAAGACCATCCGCGAAATTTATCAGGCCTAAAATTTGATCTCTCAAAGCACACAAGCCGACGAGATTTGACAGCAAAAAGAATCCCCTTATTTGTTTGTTTAGGGATTTCGATGCCTTGTGTTTGGAAAACGGAAATTACTAAATTGTTCAATATACACAGCTGTGTCGCTGTGTCTAAGTAATCAGATGGCTGATCAAATATCAATTTATAATAGCTCAGATTAATTTCACCCGGATTTTTGAATAATGCGATAATCTCAAAGGTAATGATATCAGCCCACCAATTAGCCCTCTCAAGCAAAATAACACTCATCAGGCATGTGGGTCGCCTTGCGGAATTTAAAAAAATAACCATTCGAGGGTGAAACCTACTATTGTGACAAACAATTAATCACTGATATCCTGAAGGTACTTACTTTTGAAACGCAATGCAGGAACTAATCGACCATGTTGCGCTTTTATTGCATGTCTGCCCACGAAGAATACAACAAAGACCAGTGTTTGTGATGAGTGTGCAAGGTTGTAGAGACGTGTGAACAAAGGGGAATGAAGTAATAAAATAATAGTGTCAATTTTTTTGTCTTTTCAGTCCGTATGGCGGAACCTAAAAAGGTAAGACCCTACAATTTTTAAAGAAGCTTGAATTTTCAATAATATTGTACCTACATCATAATGTGATGTTGGGTTTTCAAGTTACAGTAATTTTGCGACTACGTTTGCATTGCAAAACAAAAACGTAATGTTATTGGCTAAACAACTCATCGAAAGAGGCGTTCTCGCGCAATTTTCCCCTCGTTTGTTGCCGATTACAGGTATTTGCTTCGAACTGGTTCATTTGTGTATTTCGATGGACTAAATAGTTTTTGCTTTCTTTTCACTTCACGTATTTGAGAGGGGAGACTTTGAACTCTCTCTCCTATGTTAAAGATTCAAAGAAAATTTATCCAAAAAATGCCCTGCACTTTCCCCAGATCACCTTGACTTCACCCCTTCCATTTGTTTGCCACTTAATTCTACAGGGTGTCATTAACCGAGTGTAGGAGAGAGAGTTACCTATAATATTCTCAGCGTTTTAAGGAAGTTAAGACGTTATGAGTCATTCAAAAGTGGTTGTCAGTTCAGATCTTGCATAAGACGTTGACAAATTTTATTACTATTACTTTTAAGGATGAAAATGAAAACTCATCTGATGAGGAGGACAAAAATAGGTAAGAGTAACAAATAGACAGATATAGCAGCGTTCGTTTGTCTAGCAAGTAACCCTTTCAGACTAACTGAAAAATAAAAACCTTCTTAGTGTCCTTGTTTTAAAATGTGAGCCGAAATACGAATGTTCCACTACGTTAAAAACCCTATTTGGGGCGTCCAAGAAGCCAATAGACTGTTTGAGGTGTATTAGTGTTCTCAAATGGTCCCTTGTTGCCCTTCATGTTACTCGCATATTAGAAACAACTGTTAAGGATAATTTTCGAATACGATTCTTGTAAAGATCGCCTAAAACCGTTTCTCCCGCTACTTTGCGGATTTCACAGCGTTCCTCTCTAACTTACACAGCCGCTCTTGCTGAAAATCAAACGATTTTCTTCTTACAATTAGTTTGCGTTGACTTAATGAATGCATAATAGTACTGAATTTAGTATACAAATAGAGTAAACATTTCTTACCTGTATGTTGACGCCATTTCAGTGACAGTTCTCAAAGTACGGAAGTCGAAGAGGAACATCCTCGAGAGGACAATGGGTATTCCCTGGAAAGGGAATCACCCTTTCATCAGGTGAGGTCATCATCGTGAATCTCTCAACATCTGCCGAAACAAATAACTATTGCTTAGGAGGAGGAAGAGGAAGAAACAATGAATCAAGAAGCACAACAAGCCACAGACCAGGAATGTGGTCCACGAGGAGCTATCTGGTAAGACAAAAACTTGTATGGAAAAAATGATAATTAAATAAAGCCCAACTTGACCGCCTATGATCAAGTAGGATTAGTATATAAACCCTGCAACCCTGCAAGTCGCGTACTACCGAGTTTATATACTAATCCTACTTGATCATAGGCGGTCAATTTGGGTTTATTTAATTATCATATTTACACCAGTAGACAATTAAAAAAAGGAAACATTCCATGAATTTAAATTCAGTTGTATATCAAGGATTTAACATAATTCTACACGTCTTATTTCAGTGGTTTAGCTTCTCAGCTGCCCTATCACAGTTCTGCAGTCTCTCAGGTAGGTACAAATCATCGATCACAGTGCAGTGTATAACTTTGTGGTAACTAAATAATTATCGCTTTGACCCTTTAGAAAATAAGTTTGGTTCTTGTTCTTTTCTTTTTTGGTTGTTTTGTTGTTTGTTTATTCAACTTTAATTTGTAGCAAATCAATAAAAGATGTACGGTTTCTTTACTGACTTCTTTTTTTTCAGAACCAGCCAGAGAGATATGCCCAGCTAGCAGCTGCAGGGCAAATAAGGTAATGAGCGTAAAGACACACATGTAACTGGGTTGTGCTTTATGGAAGTCAGAATGTCCAGACAATATAAAAGGGGGATGGGCAAAACGTTTTTTTCATTTCCAATTGGATTGTGATAGTAATGCAAGACAATCAAGGTGAAGGTTCCCAGATGATGCCGTCAGGGAAAGTTTTCAATTGACCAATTGTAACACCACAGTACACTGGGTCGTAAAAGTTGCATTAGCTCTGACACTACAAAACAATTTTTAAACAAAAGAAACGTGGTTATTGACAAAGCTGTTGCAAAGATCTTACGACACATTAACTACTCTATAATTCGATTCTCCTCGCCTACTGTTGTACATTTATCTCACTTTTAGGTCCCAGAATTTTGTGGCAAATTCGGAACGGGCGCGTGCACAGCCGCAGGTAGGTAGTGAGGGAAATAGGGTATTAACACAGTATTATTTACGCCCCATGTATTATACATGTCATACATTAATAAAAGGGTATCTTGCAGTTAAAACTTCTGAGCCCTCCTTTTCCATAAGCTTATGTAAATAAACACGATAAACTTAGAAGAATAGAAAAGCGATTCTGAGAATCGTTTGATATGCAGGTTCGTAAGCTTTGCAATCACGGAAATCCAGTAAGCCTTGAAAACAATGTAACCTGCTTTAAAAAAAGAACGCAAAGTGCGTTGTCAGTTGCATCTAAATGCGCTGGAAAAAAGGATAACGATGCAATTTTGTTTTTATAGAGACGTATATAAACTTGCTACGCCATAACCAGGAAAATGAGATCATAGTGGGTTGCCAGACCTTTTTTTTCCTGGTAGAATACATTTCTTGTTAACTTAGATGTCGTGTATTAATCTGATGAAGTAATGGTAGAGCAGTACAGCGTGGCCTCTCGTTCGAGGCATCTACATCGAGTGGACAGCATTTTTAGTCTTAACCTGGGTACAAGAGGTTTTAGTCGCGTGCGGCGTAGATGTTTCGGGGTCGGTCGCAGGCCGCACGCACGAGCGGCGCATTAAAAGTCTCTGGCACCCAGGGTATTTTAGTCTTGACAGACCACGGTAACGTCCCTATAACATACACATTATTCAAAGAAAGCCGGACGTATACTTTTTTCAGTCTTAACGGTATTTCGACTTCTGCTGACAAAAAAAACCTAACTGACTTAAGCAACTGGTGTGACTGAGAAATATAAGAAAAGATGACTGACCTAAAGTTATCAAACCCCAAGTATTGGACGTGTGACAATTTAAGGAACATGGACGACATTTTTACTTTCCCGGTATTTTTTCAAGTCTAACTTAAACTTTATCATATCTTCCACAGCACCACGAGGAAACTGGTCCCATGGCAGTAATTACCTTTGTACTTGTCTTGTATTCATTAAATGCTATGTAGGCATCATTTAAATAAAAGTTGTGTTAAAATTATGCTGCTTGGTTTAATTTTGATGACACAACCCTACCCTTCAGTTTACTTTAATGCAACAAATGGCACTCTTTGAATGATTAGTGACGTCCAAAAATGGTATTTTATTGTTTCTGTAGACTGCTAGCAGTCCGCCTTTTCTGTTACATCCGTCAAGTTCTCAAACGGAGTGAGCGCGTAAGTACTAAGGACTAGGGCGAGAACAGAGAAGGCGCTCATTGTAGAAAAATCCTCGGGCCAAACTGCGAGTATCGAAAAGCTGGACGGTACTATCCACTAAAATACAAATATTTTTTTAGTGGAAAACACAACTGGATTTCCTTTGTTAACGATTATCAACAAGATCTGCGCCCCCTGATACGTGCGTAAGCGCGTAAAAATTACGTGCGTAAACAGAAAAAGAGGCAATGTGTGAAATGTCGCGCGTTGACGTAGAAGTTGAAACTCGCTCAACTTTTATGTTAACTACCCACTAACGAAACTGAGCTCTTTTCTATTATAATATGCCTGGACGCTACCAAATTTGTATTGGTAAGCGTCCTTATTCTTGTAGAGAAGATTTGCCAGAAACTTTGGGAAAAACCACGGCCCAAGAATAAAAAAAGTCCACTTCCGGCTGACGTGTGTCGCCGAACACGCGTAAAAATTTCCGTACGTGTGCACACAGAAACGGAATTACGCGACAGTGGAAATCCACATTAAAAGAAGGGCTTTCACTCTGAATACTTGAAAATTTGTCGCGAGACAGGAGTTACGCAGACCATACCGACCCTCCCCATCCCCAATTCTCACTAAGGGCTCTGACTTGTCTAAAGCATGCATGCGCGCTTCTAGTTGGCTTTGTCATTTTCAACCACTTCCTGCTAATATTAACTTTCTCGTGACATGATTTACTGAGTTAGCTGTGTGGTGTTAAAGTCTAATAGGAAAAAACAGCTACAATAGCCGTCACATTTGTTGAAACGCCTGTCAGTTTACACCCCACGCAATGTTGATTCACGCACAAAAAAAAAAAAGCTATGCGACTCTTAACGCCAGGAAAGGAGAGGAGAAGAACACAGAGAAAGATGGACAGGACGGTTGTGAACTGAGGTATGAAATGAAAAATCCCTAGCTTTCGTCTAAGGTTTTAAAAAAATTTGACAAGCACTGTTGCTGTCCACAGTGGATGACACTCGCGAACTTTACGTTAAATGAAGGGTTAACACTTTAACCCATTACCACGATAATCCTGGGTTATTTTAAACCAGCTTTGGACAACCCGACCCTGTTTTAGATCAGAAGAAAGACTTAGAATCCTACCAAAGGCCATCGCCAGCTCTTTACGCCTAACGTGTATCAGATTAGCGCGCTTGTAGCTGGGGGTCACGTGACCTATCTCATGCTAAAAAAAACTCTCTAAAAAATACCAGAGTCGGTATGATACCAAGGTGCTTCGAATAACGGTGCTTCAATTATCACTGGAAGAATTCGCCGGACCGCAAGCAGTCAGGTTGCCCTCCAATACTTTTTCCCATACAAATAGTAATAATTTTCCATACATTCCAAAGACCCATATATTTCACCGATAATCGATAATGGTGAAATTACGTTCTCGGGTACAGTTCCACCCTTGTTTAGTTAATAGCGTACCGTTAAAAAAAAGAGAGAGTTACTCGCGGGCAGGCTTAAAGGGACACTTTCACAACACAACGTAAAACGTAAGGATTTAGTCGAACTCCTTAGGATGGCCGTACAATGTGAATTGCGCTTTATATGAACAGGCTGATAGAGTTGCCATAGGTTCCCCAATCGGGCCTTTTGCAGCAAACGCCTTTCGATAAGAAGAAAACCTTGAGCGCAAAGCAAAACTCCAACGAAACAACACCAACTGACTTCCTTGCCACAATAAACCGCGCCCACTACTACAGAAGTTCACAGCCAGGGCATTCTTTCCTTCGTTGGTATTCAGCATCCCGAATAGAAGCGAAGAAGGTTTATATGACACCTGCTGGCACTTGTCTATTACGACACTATCAGAGCTACAGGAAAGAAGCTCATAAAAACTTTGCTTTACCGTGCACATAAATTGTCCTCGTCTTCTCGGTAGAGTGAAGTCGATTAAAGACTGTATGTGTACGAGTGAGGAAGTACTCACAACACCAAAAACACCAGAAAAAAGTGAACATTAAACAGTTTGGTATCTCAAAGGTTTCTATCCTTTGAATTCACGCCAGAAACGAATTCACTGTAGATAATTATGTTTTAATCAATTTCTCGTTGGAAGCAGTAAGTAGCAATAATTCCCGAACTCGGCCAAGTATGCAACATATCAAGTCATTGTTTTTACGTTCTAAGTTTCTAACTGAGTAGTTAGAGCCAAACGGAGTGGATGTTTTGCTGGACTTCAAAGCAGTCCTAGACAGTATGGACGCCTTGCGAGCCTATTTCGTTAACAGCTTTCCACTTTGTCCCATGACTCTCTGCAAGCTTCGACAATCGCTTTGCGCATGCTTCAATCGATGTATGGCACGAAAGAAAGGAGTTTATTTTGAAGTTTGGCTCGAGGATATCGGACGCATCAAAAGACAAAGTAAACAACACCGGTAAGTAAAGAACCTCAAAGAGAAGACACCTATACTTTTTAGATTTCACTTACTGTGGGCTCCGCCATGCGCTGTGTTACAGAAAAGAAGAGAATATAATCAATGTTACACTTCACTTCGTACACAACAGGTTGTTTGAAATTAATCGCTCCTTGCGTGTGGCTAAAAATTGCCAAAATCAACATGGAATTAGAACAACAAATACAGAAAGAACAACATTTGGAAGTGGGGCTCACTAGATCATGGCATGATCTAGGAATCTTAAACGGTTCACAAGTAGCCACATGTCATTGTACTAAGTGTCTAACACTGACTGAATACAAGACGATCTGTTATGGTAATGTACAATTTTGCGGCTATCGAGTAACGCAACCTTCCCACTAATTAAGCTGTCTTTAATCAGTCGATAAGTAAGGAGATAAATGTTTCCACTTCCCACATAATACCTAATGTGAGCAGATAGTCTTATCGTTTTGTCAAATACGTTGATTCCACGGTTTTATCACAATGGCGGCGTAAACAATCACGATGATTCCGCTCCAGTGACGCAAGAGTACATAACGTAAAGCTCCCGCCCACATTCAAAAGCCACGCGACATTTAATAGTTCTTTACTTGACTGATTAAGAGGTATTATAATAATATTGACGGAACTTAACACAAACATCAGGGGCACTTGATACACGTTAAATTAAACGCTTGACAACACAGACCACATAGTGCTATTTGTAGATTGAAAACATCAACTTTGACGTAATAGTTAGGTCACAGGCAGCAGAGGAGTTATTTATGTCCTTGATTGCAGTTAAATTTTTCAGTTAATGGCATGATGCGCCTTTGTTTGTATTAAACCATCATGCGATCTTGTTACTGGTGTAAAATATAATCCTTACACAAGTTCATATTCGATTCTACAGTAAACAAAGGCACATATCGCTCTATGAGCTGAAAAATTTAACTGCAATCAAGGACACAAATAACTCCTCTGCTCCCTGTGGTTAGATCACACAGATTGCAGTCAAGTTACGTTTCAGATTAAGCCAATCTCGGTTGGCCCTCCAGAGGTATCGTCCTATTCAAAAAAAATAACATTACATGGGAACAAAGCCCGTAAGAAAAAGGAAATATTTTAAAAAGCTAAAAACAAAAAAAATACTTTACACCTGTCTCTGGAGTTGACACTAGCGGAAGTTCGAGTATGGCACAGACAACTAATATTAAATAGTTCAGTGCCAATAACTTTAAAAAACCAAATACCTCGGAAAATACATCAATGTTGTGTGTCAACATTTACTTTGCTACTACTAAAACTCTACTGTAAAAGTGTTTCATCCATGTTTAAAGAGTTTACTTAATAACCCTTTCCTTTTTCAAGCCTTTTGAAATAAAAAAATTATCATTCATTGAGCTACGTCGGCTTGGCATTAACAAAATGGCTTAGAACGAGGTTTTGTTAAAAACTGGCTTAAGTCATATTTAATAACTGACCCTCACCGTCCACGGTTCACAGACCAAGCTCTCAGTAATTGCTCATACGCACCTATCGTGTGTCTAATTCACGCACTCTACAGACTAACCAAGAATTATTTCAATGTTAAAATCTTACATAGCTAAGATAAAATAATGTTGAAGCCAAGCACTTATAACGGAAAAACTATTTAAGGACATTTAAGAGTACAGGAAGTAGGCTCAGGAATTAAATGCCCCCCACAAAACGCTCGTATTTAAAATATCAGGAAGTCACGCCAGTTCAATCCAATGAGACAAATGCACTCTTTTCTTTCATAAGAATGTTGTTCTTCAGGCGCTGGCTGAATACTCTTATTCTTCTGCCAATTTTTGGCTTGTATAATTCTTGAGTTACAGCTTTTGACATTTCCATTAAACAATGTGTTGGGCTATAAGCTGCAGTTAATGCACATTTTTCCGTTTTGATGGCTAAATTTCCCATTAAGAGAAAGGAATAATTTTACGGTTAAGTTAAAAACGTATAATTATATTGTATTTACCAATTTTCAACACAAAATTATATCCTTTTCAAAATATTGGCCTTGGGTTTATTCTTATCATATTCTTACAATTTCGCAAATTTCAGCCTCGGTATATAAAATATATTCTTATAAAAATCAGAGTGTAGATTCCAGACTTCTTTTATTGTTTTTAATGTACGCAAGGCTTAACTACGGGCCATGTTATTTGACGTCGAAACTTACTGAATGAATTAAGAATAATATTTTATATTAGGAATCAAGCGTTTGAAAAATTTAACGCGTCAATAGATCTGGTTTTAGTGTGATTAATTATCTAGCAATCACAATTTTAATGAATTTTTCGTACTTTTATCATTTTAGGTATCCCTGTAGCGTTGCCGTAATTCAACCCTTGGATTGCAAGGTTATATAAAATACGCTCTAACGACATTATATAAATGACGGCTAACAATATAGTGTTTTTATCTAATCTTTTTTCTTTTCTTTCTTTTTTTTTTCAGATGGCTGAAAAGAAGGTAAGGGCTTTTTTTCATAAAGAATGCTGGTTAAGATCGTACCTCTAAGCGTTTAATAGGGTCTCTCAAAGGATTAAAGTGGACTCAAACTAAAACGATTATAATTTGACAGCCTGTAACTTAGAAATGAAAAACTTTATCGTATCGATTTCTTGTGGATTTGAAAGGGAACAGTTCTTTTACGCTATTAACAACTGCACCGCTGGTTGGAGGTTGGGTGCCTCCAGTATCCAGGGGCTTCCACTGCTTTGGGCAGCCACCTCCTATAACAAATAACACCAAAGGTGGCCCAAGATCAAAATATAACCATAGGCACTGTTGCGTAACGCTAAAAATAGATAAATTTGTGTGGGAGAAAAAAACAATTGTGTCTGTAGCCTACGAATGTGAAAGGATTTAAATAGAAATAGGCTAACCTTGGTTAAGTTGTGTGTTTCTTCTTTGGTGTGTGGTTTCCAATCCGATTTATGGCCATTTGAAAGGGTTTTATCGGAACCGGTATGCTCCCTCTATAATCCTTTCCTATAAATCGGCTCGGAAACCACATGGCTGGCATAACAGCACAACCAACCAATGAGCCCTTTTACAAAGGAAAACCATGCACTTACGTAACGTGAAGGATGTAGCGAACTAATGAGTATGCGAATACGGATCGACCACTGACCACTAGAACTGGTAGCGCTCTAACATCATTTAAATACATTATAAGAAAAAAAATTATGGGGTTTCTTAAAACTAAAGTTAACTATCAGTTCTGAAAATGTATGATCTCTCTTATTTTTTTTTTTAGACGGGGCCAGAGGCTTCAAATGGAGAAGACAACAGCCAGCTGAGCCAGTGAGATCTCTTCCTCATTCCTTAATAGTCTTACTATTTTTATACATTTTTACGCAGAAAATTTGGAGAAGTACACATTCGATCAAATTTACTTATAAAAACGTGACTTTTTCCTTATGAAACCCTTGATGTCTTGTTTTTTTTTCTTATGCCTCTACGTCTCGTAGCTAAGGAACTGTCTGGATAAAAAAAAACAATTAACGGAAAAATATTTGTTCTAGGGGTCAGGCTCACGAAGAGGAAGACGAACAGCAAAATTTACAGCTGGTTAATAGAAACAATACATTGGAGGATGGAAATGTATGTAACAGTCTTAGCACTCATTTAGACCTACACGAAAGTGATTTTATGAAAGGTCAGATGTAAAAGTGCATGACCTTTAGTTCTGAACGTTTTCTTGCTCATGTTATCAAGATTCATCCCACCTTTAACAGAGAACTGTTAACAAGAGAGGTGCCAATAACAAAGATTTCTTAGAAAGAAAATGGATACTGATCCCTTATTGACATTATTTAATATCTAATACTTTGTTCTGTGAAAAAAAAGGACAGGTTCCACATTGTTTTCAACCACCACGACTCCAACAACGTGTTTACCTTCTTTTATACTAGCTCTTTCCTCTGCCCGGTTGGACGGAAAAAGGACAAAGAGTGCAGCAGTGCACTGAAGAGAACCCCCCAGGGTATGGCATAAAATAAATAGAGGATATTACATGGCTGCGCGGAGGCGAACGAGTGAATATTTTTTCAACACGAGAAGAGAAATTTCGTATCTCCAAGCGGCCATGTAATGTTCTATTTACTATATAATCACCAATGAACTACCAAACCATTTCACTTTAATAGTTTTTCCGTGTGAAAGGCGCAATTTATTATGAAGCCATAGCAACAGTGATATTTTCACATGTGAAGATAACATGTTATCATTCGAAGCAAATGTTTCTTCCTTTTCATTGGCCGAGAGCCCACCACGTGACCTGCAAATAACTGCCTACAAATAATGGTCTGCTCATGCGCCATGTCGTTCAACTGTTTTTGGCTGCAAATACTATTCTGCTCATGCGTAAATGAAACCACACTTTTCTCCTTCTTGCGATCGCCTTTGCGTGAAAATGGCAGATCGCTTCGCTTCCCGAAGATATTCCTTAAAAAACAAACTCGGTGATCGAATGATAAAACAATTATTGAACTCGGTTATCGCAAAATATCGTGATTTGTCAGTGTCTCGCAGATCAATTATTTGCCTCAGCCTTCGGCTTTGGCAATTAATTGATCGGCTCGCCACAGACAAATCACGACATTTTGCGATAACCGAGTTCAATAATTCTTAATTATTCCCAGAACGTGCCTGGACTCTTGATTGTCGGATCTGTTCGGTGTAAATCAAGAGAGGATAAAGGAGACAGAGAAGGCATCCCCCATACACACCCTGTTCCACAGGTAATTCGTCTCGAGATATTTTTAGAATCGAGATAAAGTTACCTCGCGCGCTGCGTGGATGTTTCGTGGAGGTTCCGCATGACTAAACGCCGTGCAAAACATGTCGGGCGAAAGGCACTGAAAGCGTAAAGAGATCGAGAGCATTTCTGAATATTGAAGCGAAATGAGTCGGGGCTCACCTGGGAAAAGGAAATCGCTGGACTCTTTGACAACCTGTGAAATCAATTTAACTCGAAGTTGTCGTAACCTCAGTACTTTAACAAAATGAGAAATTTCGCCAGTCTATTGAAACCGGTCCTTTGTATAATAAAGCAAGTAAGACGCCAAGTGTTATTTTTGTTGAATAATAAAAGACTAATAAAAGAATGAATATCAAACCAGAAATTGCTCTCTTCAAACTGTAAATTATAAATGATCCTGAGAGAATATTCAGTGTGTTAGGGATTTCCCTGCTCTACTGTTAGCTCTAGCTATACAAGAAAGGAAAGGGGATTCTTTTTTAATTTCCGTTTCGCTGACACAGCTTTAGCAGAAATCTCTCTTTAGTCGTTTTCGTCGACAAAACAAATAGGAATATCGCTCTCCGCGTCTTTTGCCAATTTTTTCTGCGTCAATTCGTGAAGGACGCGTGGCTCTGAGCGTGGGTCATCCACGCGGAAAACATTCGCGCCATGTGATTGGCTGTTATCTAATCCCCCTGGGGATCTATGGTCTTAAAAATAACTGGAGACGAATTACCTATGAAATAGGGTGTGTATGGGGGATGCCTTCTCTGTCCCCTTTATCCTCTCTTGGTGTAAATGTATGGTACAACGGGCGACAAAAACGTGAAACGAGCTGAAAAGCCTTGTTGTGCGTTTAACAACCCAAATTCAAACGTGTCTTGCAACAGATCAGGTTGTTGCAGGTCGCAAAACGTTGTTGTAGAAATTAGAGAGTAGTTCTCCTTTTTGCAACCAAATCTGTACATGCTGCGCAGTTTAACGGCCCAAGGCGAACTTTTTTAGCAACAAGTGACGTAGCTTCCGTGTATATTGTGACGTCCGAGTAATTTTAACCAATCAGAAGTTAGTATTCACACATCTTGCAACAGCCTGATTTGTCGCAAGACAGGTTTGAACGTCAACATCGTTTTTCAACTCGTTTTGCGGCAATGTTGCAAAACAAGTTGCATGTTTTTGTTACCCCTTAAGCCGTAGCTAAACTCGCATGACGCTTTGGCAACTCTCCTCATGTTTCCACTGAACTAGTCTGATTCTACTAAATAAGCAATTGGCCAAACGAAACGCGCGCACAAATCAGTGGGTGTAGAACAACAGTAAAACGTTTGTGTTATAAGCAGTCTTTTCCGCTTTATTTCTTCTTCGTGCGTGCTTCTAGAAGTTAAGATGAGGGGTACAGTTTTGCTATTTTTACCCTCAAGATGACTTGATCAGTCGAAAACGTTTGGTTTAATATTTATACAATATTTTAGACATAAGATAGTAGTTTAGTTTCAGTTCTATTTCTTTTTTATTTATTTATTTAATTCAATATTTATCCAGGGGCATCCAATTTAGCAGAGCTAGTTTAAATGGAGACCTGACACAACACAAAAACAAAGACATTACACATTAAGACTAGACAATTACGTTAAAAAGGCAACATGTTCCGCAGGCGTTACTGTTTAAAATGACGCTTTAGCTTGATTTTAAATTCGCTGAGCATCTCTACTTGTCTAATGATTCTCGGTAAGGTGTTGTAGGTCCGAGCACCGCTTATTCTGAAGCTACCTTGGTATTTAGTAGTTTTTGCGAAGGGAGGGCGCAGCAAATCACGGCTTTTGGTGTTATAGCCATGGAAAAGGTGCGCGTGCCTAAACTCAGTAAGTAAGTGCGAAGGCGCTATTCCGTGAATACACTTATGAACTAAGACACATTTGAGATAATTCCATTTTCTTGGCTACTCACTTAATTTATGGTAATCAAAATGTAATACTCCTCAACAATATTGCAATTAAATACACAATATAAAGAGTAAAACAACACTTCTTTTGATCTTTCCTTTTAGGGGTATCGACACTGAAACAGGAAATCCCCAGGTAGGCATTTACGACGTACAAATGTAGCTTTTAAAAAAGGTATCTCCTAGAATAAGTGAAACACGAAGATCGGATTTAGATTTTTGATCTAATGAATCTACTTGGGCCATGGGTTCCTCTTTATGTTCACAATCCAGTACTGTATATTTTTTGTAAAACAAAGGAAAAGAAAATCCCTTTTTGGATGCAAGAACTGAACCCGTATTTCCATTCTCTCAAAGAAACGTACCACCCTTAGACGAGCTTTCTAATGGTGTCGTATGTTAGATTTAAGATAGTTTTATTACAAAAATGTATTTGGGAGTTTAATCTCTAGTTTCTTCGAAACTTAACAGACCCGATGCAAAAATGGCTGTTGGATTAATATTCTTTCGTTTAAATCAAAATTAGCCTGACTAGCCTCCTTCTTCAGTACAAAATTAAAAAGAATACATTATCTCAAGTTGGGCTAGTCAGGCTAATTTTAATTTAAACAAAAGAATAATAATCCAGCAGCCATTTTTGCATTGGGTCCATGAGTATGGGCACCCTTGGCATGATGCTGTGCTAATTCTTTCTTACATGTCGCTTTTATTTTACATTTTTTCACAGGAACACGAATGTTTGTGTCAGACATGTCAAAGCACATAGATATATGACGTAACTCTTGTTAGGTTATAATTTCTTAAAATACTCAAAGGAGATCAAAGGCTGTAATCAAGACCACTACATAGCTCTCTCCCTCTCTCTCTCTCTCTCTGTGTCTCTCGTTCATTTATCGTAGATACTGCATAAAAAGAATGTAATGTAAACATTTATAAGATCACTGTACTGAACTAAACTAAACAACTTCACTGACGTATCACATCTTCTAGCTGGAAACATGCAGCCCACTAATCTAGTTGTAGCAGAAAAATTTGCACATGCAATACGTTTGACCCCCATACGAAGAACAATCGCGACCGGGACAAGGTGAAACATATTTCCCTTGTCTGGATTTCTGCGATATTTATTATGTAAAGTGGTCTGTGTTCAAAATATATTATGACTATCCGTGACTTTTCATGTAAACATTACGTGACCTTTTATGCCCCCATTGTCAGGTGCAATACTGGAATAGGTTTTTTTGGTAGAATCCGACATCATGCATGATATGGAATATCGACGAAAAAAAGTTGAAAAACTGATTTTACGTTAGGAAAAAACGAAAGAATTGCACATAAATAGTGTGTATTTTTATATAAAGTATAAAATTAAATCATTAAAGAAACAAATTAGCGAACACAAAGAGTAAAAGTTGATTTTGGATTCATGAAGCTGGATGTGTTTGTTTCCTTGTAGGCCGTTTCTACGAATAAGGTTTTACCTAGGGGTAAAACACACGTGAACTTGATATTCGTTTTCTGTCTTATAAGGAAAGGCATTATATATGATCAGATCTGGAAGGTCTGAAGCCAAAAATGATCAATTAACCGCAGGTGCAGGGAATAATCTTTTCAGGCTTGTGCTTGTAGTTACATTTCAACACTGGGAACCAGAACAGAAACAACTACGAACGTAGAGCAGGTTTGTTGGACGTAACATTCATACAGACGTTGCCTTACCTGTAATCCTTGTGGTGCTAAAAAGCGATCATAAGGAAACAAAGGCAAGACAGGCTAGGCAAAAACTCTGCTATTCTTTGTTTCCTTGTCAGAAGCCCCTTGCTTAATTTCTAAACGCCAGGGTCGCCGCTTCCGCCAAAATTAAAATTCTCATTTGTCACCCTATTCATTTACCACAGAAGTACTGGGGACAAGTTGATAAAATATCAATCAAACACATCTTGTGTGATCTTGTCCTTAATTCTCATGACCACTCTATTTTACAAAGTATTGCTATTACAAGGAGAAATTTGATGCTGATCACTCTTAGGGTTAAAAGGGTTAACAAAGCCGTAATCCAATTTTAACACTGGGAATCAGACAGGAAAGCCCAGGTTCATGCAGGGTTGTCACTAAGATTTCAAGTTGCCGGGTAAATACATCAAGTAGGCGGGGAATCAAACGGCTAGGGATTTCTTTTGGTTCTATTTTTCTTCTATTTTCCAGTAAAAGTAGCCGGGGACTAGTCTCTTAGTAGCCGGGGAAAATCCCCGGCCCCCGGCTCTTAATGACAACCCTGTTCATGAGATATTTATTTTGCTCGTGGGAGAGGAAAATCTATTTACGTTGAAAGCTATACTTTTGCCCAATATCCCGACTCTTACAATATCTACCACTATTTTCCGAGAGATCTGCCACTATTTCCGAGAAGTGCTTGTGTACCTATACAAACAACTTCATGTAAAACGTTGCGGAAGTGCAACATCAAACGGACAGCAGATTGAAATCAAACAAAGGCCAAATGAACAATCGAGAATTTAATGTAACCGTTGACTATAAAGTTCACTAAATCATGCATAGACCGAATTAGTGTGACTGTCAGATAGTCAAATAAATTCACTTCTTTAGAACTGTCACCAAATGTGTGTTCCGACCGAGCAGCGTTGATTGAAAACAGAATCTTAAAATATGCTAATTCGAGCCAAAATCCCGAAACATTAGCTCATTTCTTGCTTTAGAACATCATGATTTCTTATCCAAGGGAAATATTAAGGGGCAGACCCTTTACGCCAGAAGATCCATTTATATAATAAAACGGTAAAATCCCTCCTAACTCTGTAGAGCGAGACGTGATTTGGTGGGAGAAGTGATTTTTCTATTCCACAGCAGAGCCTACGTATCACAGACGGAATATCTGAGTTACGTTTAACAATTTCTTCTCAGTTGATTCTACATAAATAAAAAATTTTTGTTGTTGACCTGAAAACAGTGTAGATGTTGTGGTTCAATTTATCCTTGGTTTAAATTTTTCCCTTTGTTTTTGCTTGTCTGTGCACATTATTTCAGTAAAGGGAAAAATCCCTGAAATGCACTGATGATTACCTAGAGAAGGATATTTAAGGAGCGTACGAGCTTTGGACTGGCCGTGTCAAAGACTCGCGAAACTGTTCAAGTCAGTTCTAAATAGAAGGCTAAATGATGCCGCTTTTAAAGAAAATAAGAAAGCTACAAGACAATTAGAAGCTTTTATAGCTGGAGTTGCACCGATCCGATAAAGAAGTATTTGGAAAGAGGTAGGTAGACGCTCATACTTGCATTATGCGACGACATATTTACATTTCGCAAGAAATTACTTATGGATTCCAAAGCTTTTAACAGGCGGCGCAGGGTTCGACAGTCTCTTCTCTGAGTTAATCGTTCTTTGAAGAGATTTTCTTTTTTGTTTAGGTTTGCGAAGCGGTATATAAAGATTCCATGGTTTCAAGGTCAGAGTATGTTTAAAGTCTTCGCAACATTCGCCTTGAAATCGCGGAAGTCAGTTCGTGAGACCCTCTATTTCTTCCTGAAGACCTTCATACATGGTATCGCTTTATCGCACGCGATGTGTTTACAATAAACTGAAGACAAAATTGTACAGTGTAAGTCAAGAGATACGACACTGGTTGTAAGTTTGATTGAATCATGTCGTAAGCCTACCGTAAAGACGTTGCATGCGATTAAGCTGTTGCATGTAAACGGGGCTTAAAACACTGGGCCGGAAGTGAATACTACAGCTGTACAAGATGGTCACGATTGGTTGGAGTTCTAAATCACATGACTGTCATGTGTAGAGAAAAGCGCGCCAAAAGCCAAGATGATGAACGAACAACAGAAGTATATAACACAGGATAACGACGAATTTCTATGAGCTGCAGTGAGTATTTGCTTTAAAGATTTTTTATCCCGTTTTAATAAACCTTTAGACAAACATTGAGCCGTGAGTATCCAAATATTGAAGTGGCTGATGTAGAAACAAAAGGGGTATTGTTTTTACCTCCCTTATAAAGCAATCACAAGGCATCAGACACGTGATAAGTTGACTGAAACAGCACTCGTGTGCATATGAAACAATACCGTCGTCAAAGTGAGAGAACCCACGTGAGTACACTTCGAGAGTACGTTTACTAAGGAACGTTTACTAAGAAGCTTTGAGCTTTCCTTTGAAAAATAAACTGTGTAGGAATACCTTTTCAAACGCATCACTCAGGTAGGTATGAAATCCTCGCAGCTGATTGTTCATTTGACATTGCGATGGTCAACGTTACGAGAAAGAAACAGTTAACTTCGCGCATAAAATCTCAGTGATCGGACATATTAAACAGCGAAAGCACGCCCATCAAAAATCCAAGACACTGACTTTCATCCTAAAGGCCCGAAGAAGTGACAAAATAGCAGTTACTGGCTGTAACTAAGTAGGAATCTCAATTTAGGCAGGCGTGAGGTCCAAAGACATTCAAACTTCACATTTACGTTACTGTTTAAATTGCTCTCCATTTCAATTGTTTTTCGTTTTTTCTTCAATTTCACACAGAGTTCAGAGAAGATCATGGCAGATCGAAGGGAAAACAACAGTTTTAATGTAAGTATCGGAACACGCGACTTTTTAAAAAAAGTATTTTACTCATGGTGTGAATGACCAATGTTGCCACAAACTGAAAATGTCGCTACAAATTTGTTGCATTTGATCTAATAATCAATCTTGCTTTACTGTACAAACACTTGTACCACGATATGATAAATTGAACTTTCGCATTGTTCGGTAAAAGAGTGTGGAAACGAATAGAAAGCTACATTTATAACTACATATGCCTAAAACTGGAACACGAGTCGCCGCCTTGATTCTGCTTTGTGTGCTACTGTGTAGAGTGTATTAGGAGGTGACAATCACCATTCAGTCTCTGCATGAAAACATATCCACTTAAGATAAATTTACGTTTTGATTGATCTTTGGATAAATTCCCAGAATGTGATTATTTGTAGTTCGTAAAAGGTACTGTCTTGTTTGTTTGCTTTTGTTATTGCACATTTTACACCAAAAAATGCTAAAAGATAAAATATTTTAGACAACTACGCAAATATTTTAACAAATTTTTTCTGCGTATGGTAGCTTGCGTACTGAACAGCTCAATGCTAATTCTCGCTTTCTCTTTAATTTTAGGAGCTGCCCAACATAGGGTAAGTCAATAGCTACCGGTACTTAGGAGTCATTCCAAAAATAATTTAATGCACATTAAATTGGGTCTCCCTCATAGAGTCTAGCCTTTCCTAGGAATAGCTATACATCTTCAGTTGGACTCAAACAAATTAGCTGTTTTTCAAACGAAATCATTGAAAAAGCTTCTGTTGTGTATCAACGGATACTAGATGTCATGAACACAACTAACAATCATGCATGTAAATAAAGTGATCACATTTGAAAGTGTAATAAGGTTTGCAAGGTATTAAAACCTGAGCTAAACAAAACAAAATACTTATGCGAGTCATATATATGGTTTTGTAAGGTTATTAAAATTGTAGGGCCATGATACACTGTTACAGTATAGTATTGTCAAAACTTGTGGTGTAAAATCAAATTCCTTTACAGTGATCATGAAATATAATTCAGTTAAATTTTGAGTCAAGAAATCACAAACAGGCCCTTCTGTGTATTCAGGTTGACTCACTAGTAATATTGATAAACGTTTATTGTGCAAATATTAGACATGTTTGAGCAGGTGTGTAACACCCAATGTATGTATATTGTTAACCTGGTAATTAGTGTACGATTTATAACAGTTTGCAGACTAACTGTAAGAGTAGACATCTGAAGAAATTAGCTCTTAGCCCAGGCCTTGAAGGAGTCACATCACAATCCAAACATCTTCTAAATCCTTTACCCCTTTTAAACCTTCCACACATTCTGGACACAAGCACCACAACATTAAAAGGCATGCATGCTCATTGCAAGTTACTATTTTGAGGAAAGCAAATTAGGTACAAGATTCCTCACTACAAAAACACCACTGACCACTATTTTGGACACAAGTGACTCTCTGAACAGGATATTAAACAAAATACTGTCACCAAAGATGAACACATGCACCTGTTCCATAATGTTGCAATAATATGAACATTACTTACCCTCAGACTTCATCTTTGTTGCCTTCCAGGTTTCCCCAAGATCCAATTTCTTCCCTAGAGGTAACAAAAGTTTTCTTTAATGAATGGCTTTCTTAAAGATTAACCAGGAATATTATTAATACACATACACTTTAAAGGTCTAGTCATGAACCGAGATATTCAAATCAGCAACAAACAACTATTACAGCAAAACCCTAATTAAAACGATGAAATGCCTGGGGACTGAGAGAATGTGTTCATTACTCTCAAGGTAAAGCTACACAAGTCATGAAGCTCACCATTGGCTAGGGTTAATCCAAGGTTCTGTAGCACAAAGCACCTATTATGTATCTGATCTGGCACAAGAGCTGTCTATATAAGCGAGAACATCTTAGACTAAACCGGTGATTTTACCATGTGAATGCAGTGTGAACTTCATTCTAGAACAACACTTATTATGAAATCATTCCTGACCAGTTTCATGTAAACAGACCATAAGATGACAACATGACAGCAAGGCTTGAACTTGGAACAACAGTTCCAAAACTCAAGGTGTTACTTTACCACCCAGTCACCATGCCTCCACAGACACCCCAGTGAGGGCATCGTACACCCTGTAGGCAAATCAATTTCCCAGTCCCTAATTGCACTTCAGGGTTAAACTGAGCAAAAGGATAGTACTCTTCTGAAAATAATTCAACTACAAACACCACCACACATTACATTGAATTCAAAATACTTATACAAGATTTGGAACGAAAGAGAAGCAGTACTTATGTGCAAAAAATGTCTTAAAATGGATGCTTTTATCAGCCCCCTGCTCAGAATACTGCAATTATTTAAGGGTAGGGGGCAGGGGCAGTGTTTACATGCTGCATATGAGTGTTGCAGTTAATACATGCATGACTTTGACACCAGTATGAATTTCACACATTTCTCTTATGCAGCTTGGAGAGCATCATGAAAGGGTCGGCACTGAAGAAATGAGGTAGTAAATTATTTATTGTTATCTAAAGCTACATGCAAAAAATTAATGTGTGGGAATGTTAAGACAACAGAGAACCTCATTTTGCTTATTTCTTCCAGTGATGCTAAGATCCAGTGGCTTACTTTTAGTTATTATTAGTCTTTGCATTTTTAAGCATTTCCATATATTCATGGTCGAGGGCAGGTCCTTAGTTATTTTTAACATGCTGTGTATAGCCTGGCACAACTTTTGCAGGCAAGTAAAGCTTTTCAAAATTCAACTATGTACCGCACATTTAAATGTAAACATGAACAGGACATGTTTTATTGCACAAAGTGTCAGGTTTTCTTTAATTTTACTACATCAGCTTAGAAATTCTAATTTTGCTTTTCGTTAATAGAGAAAAGGAAAATTATCCCATTATTTACTGCCTTTGAAGGTTTGGCCTAGCTAGTTATTTGAGCTTATGAGGAACCAATATTTTCTCCTGTCCTGAATTCAGTAGAGATGGTTATTCCATTTTTAAAACCCTTTGTGGCTACCTTCCAATTTTCCAGCTTTGCATCAAGCAGTAAAAATGTATGCAAAAACTGAAGCTAAATTACTTTTCGGTGCAAGAAGGAAAAACAGAGTGACTGCCCTCTATTCCCCAGTCAAAAATAGAATATTCCCCCCCTACAAAAGAAGGTAAGATGGGTGATGCCAAATCCATCTATGTATGAAACTACAGTTGACCGTCCATTAAGCGGTCACCTATTAAGCAGCCACTCTCTATCAAGCAGCCAGTAATCATAGTCCCGAAATAAAATTGTAGAAAAGAATGGGAAATTAATAAGCAGCCACCTTTTGGCCACCCCAACAAGAATTCACCCATTTTTGTAACCGTGTAACTATCCCTTATTCGGGTCCACAACTACAAATGTACATGTATTTTTACTCAAGAGCTGGTGGAACCAGACCTTGAGGTAACTTGGGGGGGGGGGGGTTAGAAAAATTGCCAAAGCAAGTAGTAGTTTGCCTCAGCCATGGGGGCCTCGGCTCTTGGCAAAAAGTAAGGGGGGGGGCCCCCAGGCCCCCCCCTTTGATCCGCCCCGTTCAGGGTACACTTAAAGTGCATGGCTTCCCAAACTTTCCTTACACACTTTTAAACTTTTTTTGTCATAACTTAAAATTCAAATTAAAAAAACACGAAAGTGTTATTAAATAACACGCCACCTTTTGCCCACCCCCATCAGAATTCCCCCTTTGTGTTAACGGGTTTACTCCCCATTATCGGGGCCCACAACGAAAAATGGAGTTTTATTTGTTCGGAAGGCGGGGGGGAACCAGTCTTGGGGGTAAGTGGGGGGGGGGGGGGTTAGAAAAATTGCCAAAGCAAGTAGTAGTTTGCCTCAGCCATGAGGGCCTCGGCTCTTGTCAAAAAGTAAGGGGGGCGGCCCCCAGGCCCCTCCCTTAGATCCGCCTCTGTCAGGTTACATTTAAAGTGCATGACTTGCCAAACTTCTCTGACACACTTTTAAACTTTTTTGGTCATAACTTAACATTCAAGTGATACAACAACGTACGTGTAATTTAAAACACTTTGCATTTTATCTCCACATTAGGCCTCGGCAAGATCAAGCATACTACTCGTACCTTTTGGAACTACTGTTTACAAATAATGAGATGGTAAGTTCTATTATGTAGAACTTAGAATACAATATAGATTTTAATTTTAACAATTAGTCCACTTTTATGGATCACATATAATAGCATGGCCTTCCACCCTCAGAAGCATGCTGCCACAATAATAATCGATGCTCCTTGGGATACTCCATCTAAGGCTGTACTTGATAATCTTAACATTGTCCAATTTCAAGATTAGCATGGAGCCAAACACAATATTGCACTACATGTAGGACCAGTAATATAATGATAGGAATACATGCAGTGCTTGCTTATTTCTTTATTTCACTATTTATTTATGGATCTATTTATTTCTTTAATTTATTTTAATGCGTACTTGTGTACATCAGTTAAAAGCACATGGCAGTGACCATCTCAAATGCACTTTTTAGCTACTTTGGTCACTGCACATATTTTACTTTTCACCATTTGTGTGATTGTTCTTCTCTTTTTTGCTCTTGTAATGTATTGTAACATTAACTTATGATATTTGTCGATAGTACAAAACAGTAAAAATCTGAAATCTTTCATCAGTATAGCAAGACTAAAGTTTTTCATTATCATTGTCATTAGCAACATCATCATCATCATCATCATCATCATCATCAACATCATTCTTGTCATCATCATCATTATTATAATCATTATACTTTACAAACTTAATAGTGTCAGATTTTAATTTGAATGATTGCTCTCAGAAAGGGAATCTATTTCAATAGGATTTGAGACACTGCTGGTAAAGGGCTTACTACCTATCAGGGTGCAAAGAAAGTCAGTTTTACAGCTTTACAGCTTGTATGTACTAGCCCAAAAGTCAATTCAGCTAGCCTGAAAAAAAAATTGATAAGCCAACCCTCCAAGTTGCGACCATTTTAGTCGCCATGGCGCCTAAAATTTTGGAACTGGCGACTTGATTTGGAGAATAGTCGCCAAGCTGGCGACCGTGAAGAATAGGTTCATGTTGTGGCGTATAGAAACAGAAATGGTAATCACTTCTACTGAAATACGAAGAACATTTATTCTAGCTGATTTGAATTCCATTACTTTTTTACCTTTCCGTTGAAACACATGCTAAATTGAAAACTTAAAAAAGTCTCAGAGCTAAGCGTTTTGAAAATGAACATCAATGAAACTTGACTTGCATTCGTTCGCCTAATCACCTTCAGTCTGTTGCCTTACACGTGACATTTTAACTTTTGACACGTGACAAATGGCACGCAATCGAAGCGCCTTGCTTGTCGACAGTGACGATTTCTTCGATATCTTAGGAATGCTTGTCTAGCCAAGTTCGGTGGTTTTTTAACTGGACTACATATTATAAATATTTTTGAATCAATACTGAAACAATCTAATAACATGAAGAGGGAAAGCTAAATTGGTGCAAATTCAACACAGAACATTATGTGATAACCGTAACATGTGAACCGTGCTGCGAGTTGAATCGCGGTTTTGTAAACAAAAGCGATAATTGTAAGCGAAACTAAACATCGCAAAACTGACAGCTTATGGTTGTTGCAAAAAATGTTTTTTTAAAAACCTGTAGCGATAATAAAGGAAAGAGAAAATTTGTTATTTCGTAGGCGGCATTTTTGTTTGGGTTCCTTTCAACTGATTGGGAAAAAAAAATTTTCCCAGTACAACTCGTTGCGAAATTTTTACGTGTGCCATGTTATCTCTGTAAAGCAATGATTTCATTTAGAAAACTTGTCAATCTTCCTATACTCTCCTGCCTTTGTCAGGCTTTCGCAATGTCTAGCGATGTTAAAAACGACCTTTTAAATCTCCAAAAATATTTGTTAGTTGGGGAAACAAATTCATCATCAACAAAAGTCGCAAAAGAAATGCGAAACAAATATCAGAAAAAAATAGGTCGCCTATCAAGTTGCGACTGGGAAATTTTGAAAACATTAACAGAGGATGAGTTAAGTTCTGCTCTCATATACCAACTGGGGATTATATAGAAGGATTGAAAGCCCTAAACCAAATGGAAATGGTAATTGTCTTTACAATTCCGTTTCAGTATTGATTCAAGGAGATGAATCTGCAACCCTTATTCTCAGACTATCAGTAACTAATGCCTTGCACAATAAACGAGTAATTTATATGACAGTGCTGCATTTTAAGTTAAACTTGCTAACTGCTTTTGTTAATGACAATTTTGATATATTAAGTTATTAATATAATTTGGCGCATAAAAATTTCCCCTGGCAACTAAACCCAAAGAGCTGATCGCCAAATGGCCACTGAACAAAAATTTTAACTTTGAGGGTTGTAAGCAGGATTGACTATAGTTCTGCTGTAATTTGAATTCCCCCAAAATAATCGACTTTCCTATTGGGTAAGAACAGAATTCACTAGCCCGATAGCAAAATACACTAGGCTATCAGACACCACTTTCTTTGCATGCTGCCTGTGTAGTATTTTTAAGATATCAGAACATGGCACCTTGTAAACTAGTTGTGTAAAAAAACACTTCCTGTTTATTGGTACTCAATAAACACGAACTCACTCCAAGACATTAGACATAAACATCCATAAGTTAAAGGTAAGAGAAAACTAAATCACCTCGAAAGAAAACCAGAACATCTTTTTTGTTTAGCTTCAGGCAAAGCTACAAACAGATAATATTATCTTTTATTTTTGAGCATACAACCCAATAATTTTTTACTCCTTGAAGATTGGTGAGAAAGTTGCAGTATTTGAATCAATTATGAGTAATATAATTTATAATAAGCAAACAGTCAAAGCTATCACTACAGACACATTCCTGAGTAAAAGCCCAACCAATGGCAGCCTTTTGCTGCAGTTTCAGGTGAAATCGAGTACCTCCCCACAAAAGAACTTTTAATTAGAAGTTTTCTGCAGAGCAAATTTGAAAGAATTCTCTTGGAGTAGGACCTTTTGAGGATTTGATCTGATCTGGGCACAACAGATATTACTTAGATAAATGGTTTCAGTATACAGACAACCATGCAATCATAATACACCCAGTGCATAAGCACATCATTGCCTCCCTTTCGCTGATAAATGGTGTACATGTTTGGTAAAAGGTCTGCACTCAGCAGTAGGCACTTAATTTCCTTCCCCACTTCACCCCCCTCTTTAATTTTTGCTTCTTTTTGCCCCATGCCCTCGCACATCTTCCACACTCCTCCCCCTTTTTTGGTGAAAAGGAAATGAAAATGACCGCTATGCAAGCAAACAGTGACATTGTTCTGTTACCTAATGATGGTCCCCCCTTACAGGAGCTTCATTTGTAAATGACACCAATATAAGGTCTTGGTCCTCAGGGGTTTCAATAAGCACTAACGACCGACGAAATACGTTGGCTACACTACTCAGAGAAGTCAGCTACTTTTTTCCCCCAAAGAAGCAGCAACTATTTTGAATAATGTCACGGACAAAAACAGAATTTGTTCATGGGAAAATGTACGTAACGCAGTAATAATGATTTGTTGTAGGATTTAATTGTGAGGTTAATAGGTCAAAATTGGACTTAAACCAAAATTTTCCTGAATGAAACTCTTTTATCCTCAGTTTAGTCCTCTGAACACTGGAAATCACTTATCTAGGGCTTTGAGATTTTAAAATTTTGTGAGGGAGCATGCCCTCAGACACCCTTTGAAAACGTGGACTACTGGCCCCTTGTTGAAACAGTCGGTTACTCTTTTCAGACCCTGGTCCTTATGTGTAAATCTGCGGTCATCGTAATTCATGCGTGTGTAGTCAGCATATACAATAATTAACATACATACACATATTTTCCAAGCCAAGCTTACAAACTTTATGTATCTACTATTTTTTTCTCACCTTAGTGCATACAGGAGTATCTGCAGTAATACATGTGATACAGTGTAGCCCTAACCTTAAAATACACTGTGCCTTCTCTAAAACTACAAATACTTTTTGAAATCCCCAAGGCAATATTTTCAATACTGCATAAGAATGAATGTTAATCAAAAAATTTTGTCCAACAATAAATTAATGCAGCTATTGTTCAAAGGGTTTGCATTCTACTACAATCTTCTCTCTCAAACATCTACAGGGTGGATCAGCTATGAGATAAGAGGGAGGAGCACCAGAGAGTGAATGGCTGACGGCTCAGAATTTGCTTCTATTAGCTTTGGGCATCTGATAATAGTGATATTACACATTTGTATATAAAAACCTACTTGCAGTAAAGTGCCCTAATATGTTTAAAATGGAGGGGAAAAAAGTTAAAAAGGAATTGTTTAGATTACATGTAGTTTGCATACATATGGGAAGTTGCAATAGTTTTAAAATGTTTTTGTTACAGCATAAAAACAAACAGCAGTAATGGCTTCTATACTGAGGCATAAATTTCCAAGTGTTTAAAATTTAAAACCACAAAGCTATTGATTTATGTTATGAAAAAAATTATGTAAATAATATTTTTGTTCACTGTCCATCACTGTAAATAGTAATATTGTTATTCTTTACATCCCAACTGATAGCAAATAATTTAGCAAAAGGAATTGTTAAGTCCCTTTAAGCCCCAATATCAACATACAAATTTTCCAGACTGATTTTGATACTTGCTTACGGTACATTTCCTTAAAAAATAAGTTAAGAAAATTTTCTGAAAGATCAAAGAATTTTTCCTTATGTTGATCATTTCATAAATTCTCATAACTTTTTCTCTTGATTTGGTGTTGATATTTTTAGGATTTTGATCACACTTGGGACTTAAAGGGTTACAATGCATATCAATAAATATGAACCTACCATAGAATTGTTAGTAAGGAAATCATTTCAAATTAAAAGATATACAATGATGTATGTTTCATCATTCCAGAATATCTTTTTGTCAACTGAGAAACAGGCCTATCAATCAGCAGGTTTTGTACTGTACCTTTTTCTCAAATATCCTGCAATGGATTTGTACATGTAACCAAACAAAATTTGTAAATTTAAAGTATAAGCTACTGTAGAACACAAGTTTATTCGTTGCTCGCAGGTTAAGCTTCTGTTCGCTTTTTTTTTTAACTCTTGCTTGGTTT